CACTTTGGGTGGCCTCCCTGCAACCATTTGCAGGCAGGATCAGGCCCTCTACGGACACATTCACTTGAGGATGAAGTCCATTAGCATTCACCCAAGCCATTTTAAAACCTCACAGTTATTGAGAGTCTCCCTGATCAGGCAGTGAGGAGTCCAGGCTCTGCACCACAACCATCACCACAGTGTAAGCATTAGCAAGGAAGCAAGCCTTTCAAGGTTCAGAATTAAAGACTCAGTTTGCAAGATTTATAAATTATTTGTATCTTTCACTGGAGGCTGCAAGCTTTGTTCAAGCCTGAAAGATATTAAGCCACTTCTTGAGAATCACCACTAATTAAAAAAAAACCATGGCAACAGAAAAAATCTGCATTCAGTATTCAGCAACAATTCTCCTGGAGTTTAATCTGCACACCCTTACGACAGAGCAGTGAATACCACAAACGGATCAGTACCTGCTTTGTAAGTCGTTCAGGTGCAATTTGCCTACATAATGGGTGGCTGATGAGACAGTGATGATCCGAGCGCTGTGACTGTGCGTTCCTGATTGCTTCAGCGTATCCAGGAGGAAAAACAGCAGGAAGTGTCCCAAGTAGTTCAAGCCAAAGTGCTCCTCGAACCCATCCTCCGTCTTCCTTTCAGGGACCAGCATCACCCCAGCTGGAGGAGAAAGCAGAGGTAAAATCTGTTGATTTATTTCAGAGAAGTAGCAAGCTAGAAGGAGCACGGATCTCCCGCTGCAGAGTGTAAACACGGCATTTAGAGCAATGAGTGCTTGGTGATGGCATCTGAAGTGTAAAGTCTGGAAAACAGGTAGACTGACTCTCTCTCTCCCTCCATCCCTTGCAGGACCATGAGGATAAGTGAGTTCACTTGTGCAAAGTGTTCTGAAGACATTAAAAGTTGAGTTAACCCATTGCTGTCATGCCAGAATTCAATGCTGAAGATCCACAACAATGATTAATCCATCTACCATAGGTGGGAGCTGGGCGATCCCGGCAACATTCCCTCCATTAAAGAGCTCGGAGCAGTGGAGACAAGACCAGGCTAAGCAGCAGACCTGCTCTCCCAGGCAGCTTTCTGCTGAGTCCTGGCTGGAGTTTAAAGATCTGTTGAGTTTTCATCTGAAATCTGCAACTTCTGTCTCACTGGTGTGGGTGAGAAAAGATGAAGCAAATTTACCCAATACGTCTTAATTACTGTGCTTACAAGCAGCTGCATATTGAAACGAATTTCTGAATGCTTATTTTGGCAATATTTTTGCATATATTTCCACAAACTACAATTTTCAAACTCAGTGACTAAAATAAGTATCCACATCCCTAACATGCAATGTTGATTTCAGCATCTTGCAGAGAATCCTGAGCTCAAGCATAAACTACACCGTCTACTGAAGCTGTGTGGAGGATAGCTGTCCTGCTCAATTATAATGTGGACTTGAATGCTATAAATTATTCTTATTTTATTAAAATGTAGTTGTCATAGAAGTGGACCCGACCTTTGTAATTTAAATGTAGATGGACGTAGCTCATGGAGAATAATGTTGCAGGCCATTTGTCTTCTCTCTAAAACACATGAATACGATACATCAGAAAGGCCACCTCTGCCCACGGACGTGAAAGAGTATTGGCTTCATCCTTGCACTATTTCTTATGTCCATTAAAAACCCTTTAACATCCCATTTCTTGAAGTCAGACCTATGATGACATATTAAATTATTATTTTAAATTGCATGTGCTGTGCAACTGGCACCACTTCTTTGGGGAGGACCCCACCACCTGCCAGTGCTGCTTTGTTACTGCTGCTCAGGCTTAAGACGTGGCATTTTCAGGATCTTTTTAGCATGGCCAACACCCAAAGCAATTCACCCATGGGATGCCTACTGCTTAGTAGGCCTGTATAATGAAGAAATCGCTGGCTTTGTGTGAGAGCACAGCCCAGAGTAAACCATGGACATTTTGTAGGAGTGGAGACTAGCCATTTCAATGCTAGTCTCTAGTGCTTGTAGAGACTGTGGTTTTATACAGGTAGGGAAGAAAAAGTATGAGGGAGGTGGGAAAAGAGCAACAGTGAAAGGATATAAACAAAGAATGTGAAAGACAGCAGATGATGGAAAAGAAAGCAAAGGTGAGGAAGGGAGAGGAAGACAACTGGAGATGCAGCGTAAGGGGAAGGAATGAGAGAAGAAAACAGAGCAGACAAAAGGTTTGGGTGCAACACATAGGCAGCACATATGGAGAACTTCAGACTGAACATGAGCAATGCTGGCTGGTGGTACAATGAAAGAAACACAAAGCGAATTACATGATGGGGCTCTTCAGAAGCTCTGATTGGCATCTCTCTGTCATTACAGCCACTTTCCCAGATCCCTCAGAATGACGGGAAAACCCAGCTGCCAGGTGTGGCTTCTCTGCATGTCAAATCTCAACTTCAATAACGGAAAGGCTCAAATGAGAGAGTGTCTGGCTGGGTGTCCCATTCTATCCTCCTTCCTCAGCAACACTTACTCTGATGCGTGGTGTAACTGCTTCCATAGCTGGAAACAGATTTCCATTTCCTCTGTGACCTCCATATGCGGCATATAATGACACCTGGAACGGTGGCTGGGACTGAGCACTGGCGTGAAGGTTACGGATGGACAGAAACTGAGACAAGTCCTGCGGTGACTGTTTGTTGTTTTCTTGGAAAAAAGAAAGGGTGGGAAGGGCAACAAACCCCGAGGTCCAAGACCAAGTCTCAGATTGCTACCGTGCAAGTTTTAGCAGAGACAGGGCTTAGCACAAGCTGTTTGAGGGCAGGTGGGAACAGCACCACATCTCTGAGCACCCGGGCTGGTACAAGGAAATAATTTGCATCTCTCTGAGGCCCATCCTGCCCTCCAAAACTCTGACACTCAAAAAGGCAGGAGGAAGCAGTTTGCCAGAGGTCTATTTGCAGCAACACCGGTAAAATGCAAGCCCAAGAAAAGGCGGCCAACATAAAACAGCCCTGGCACAGCAAAGCTGGTGTGAGCCCCAAATGCTGCTCCTGCATTTGCCAGGGTTACTGCAGGGCTCACTATAGGCAGTTCCATGCACACACACAGCTCTGCTGGCCGAGTCAGACGGAGGGATGGAGGAATTTGTCTAGAGAGAACAGAAGTGCAGTAGACGGCTGCTACAGCCCTTCAGCTTTGCAACACGACCAGCAGGCAAACCCAGGGAGGCTGTCATCTCTCACGTCAGCCCCGATGCCGCCTGTGCTACAGCAACTGCCCCTTCGACCGCCAGAGAGGCATGGGATCTCAAGAGCACACAGAGGCTCTGCCCTCCACCCCAATTAGCGTCCACCATCTGTGCTGCGTGTCCTGGAAAGAAAAAAACAGATCTGAGCTCCGGTCAGGAGATGGAAAAAATTTTCACTCATGCAATGCACAACTGTTAAGATACAACTTCCTGAAAATTATTTTGCTCATTCTTCAGAGGATTCATCTGAGCAGAAATTGTGGTCAAGTCCTAAAGCAGGCACAATCACCTCTGCTTGCATTTCTTGCTAGTACAATTCTCTTTTTGTCTTCAAGAGCTGGTCAAATAATATTAATTCAAAACACCTTTGAAAGACTTTTTTTTTTAATATAAAAAAGGCTCTCATCTTTGAGGTGGTTCATATCAAGGCTATCAAAAAATCTTGCCCTGCAATTTGAGGGCAGTTTCTCTTATTTGAGGAGAAGCCATTTTAATTCACTGAGAGCGAGCATGCAAAGGAATACCCAGCAGGCAACTGAACCTGGCTGCTTCTCTGACAAAAGGGAAAACCTTGTAAACGTAGCAGCAAGCTCTCTTTTTTAAATTATTAACTACCCAACATTCAGTAGATACTAAAAGTGGCACACTATTGATTTTCTTTTGTCCAGAAACATCATTAGCTTTACTCAAGGGCCCCAAATGGTAATTCAAAGAAGGAAAGGTCCTTCTATTTTTAATTCTTTCAATTAATCCAATACTATTAGAAACAAAAAAAAATCTGCAGGTTTTTTGTTTGTTTGTTTTGTATTTTTTTTACCTTAGCTCTTCATTGTAATCTAAGAATGATTATTATTCTGGTGTGGAATCCATACAAACCAGTATCTTTCTGATTTTAGTTATCAATAGTCAGTCTGTTCAGTTTTTTGGAGTGCACGTGCAATTTGAAGTGGCAGCACACAGACTGTTAATGTCAAACACCTCAGCTCTGATACAACTTTCTTGTATGTTTTTCCCTCTGATTTAGCTGGATTGTTTCCAGAAGATTTATTTTAAAAAATGTCACTGATATCAGCATGGCATTAGAAAATGAATTAATTAGTAAGCTGAACATAAGCTTTTACTTTGTAATTGATTAGCTGCTACTGAAATATTCAGGCAAAATACTGACAGCATGCATGCAGAAAATTGCCTAAATGACACATTGATGTGTGATTTTGCAAGAGTAGAAATAAACTGGAATAAGGAAAATATTTTGCAGCATAACTACACTGAACAACTGTTCTTCTTATATAGTGATACTTTCCAATGTGCTGCAGTTATGCACTTATTTATTATTATTATGCACATTTTAATTAGCTATAATGAATCAAAAATAATCTATTCTTTTTTACTTTTATGACTAGGCAATAGTCATACTTTTCTCTCAAAGAATGAATACATCTCAAGACAATTGTCTTTGTAAACAGTCATTTATCATGATTTTCTATAAAAGTTTCTAATTTTGGGGATCAATCAATGAATTAGTCCTACACGATTTTAAGGACATAATGGATCTGATACTGCATACAGCATAACCAAAATGTTTATGACAGTTCTAAATATTATGGGCCAGTCATACCGTATTTTTACTGGATTCTGTAGGAGAATTTGTACCATGCCTGCCTGTATTGCAGATGATGGTAAATATTGCTGCAACTCCTGTATCTCCCACTGCAAACACATCCTTCAGCTCCACTATAAAATATGTTTTAAGAGCTTTAAAAATACAAGTATTTATTTCAATTATCTAGATTTATTTACAGTGAGCTACTTGGAGATTTTTAAAGGCAGTTCTGTCAAACTCACTGCAAAAGAAAGATTTAAAATCTCTTTTTTTTGCATGCAGAACAAAATGTTCTTCCATCCCAGCCAGGCTCACGGCAGAGGGTTTGGAGGCAGTGCCCCCACATGCAAGTCCTTTTAACCCCAGCAACCCAAAGGCTGGGCAGACAACGCAAGAGGTCAGCCACATACACTTACATGTAACACCTTCACAGCAGGAGGTGAACCACATTCACCCAATTCTTGCTATTTACAAGGAAGAGATATACACTGTACCAAAAAAGTTCCCAAGGGGAAAAATTAATAGACACAATAACTCCAAGTAAAAGAGCAAAGCCCTTTCTCCATACGGGCTTTGTACTGGTGTAGCTGATTCATTTAGCAGCATTTTCCACCCCATGAGTGCAGCCACATGAGGTGATCCACCTCATGTAATAGTGTTAACACTGCTCTGCCCTGCACACCCATACACCAAAAGACCTATGGGTGGATCTATCTAGCTATAGAATTGTACAGCCCGCTCCTCTCTTGAACTGGGACAGCTATAGTGGGGTGAAGATCTCAATAACTGTATAGCAGCATCCCCTGTCTAGGCTGTCTATACCTGGGCAAGGA